CACAAAACGTTTATCCAGCGACAGCCTGAGGTAGCACAGGCAGCTCTTAGCAGGTTTATTTTCATTATTACAGCAATTTTAGGGCTGCATGCTGCAATTTTCACTTGCAGTGAGGTATTAAATTGAAATTACCCCAGATGTAATTGTCACACAAAATAATTCTGGACATGCTGGATTTAATGCTTTTCCAAGCTGTGGTTTTTATTACCCAAGTAAGTGCCAAAAAAACACTTGTAGTCAACAACTTAAACTGAAATCTGCCTTCTGGGGAGCCAGGATGTTTCACTGCAGTTACACTGGGGGAGGAAGGAAAAAAAAAAAAAAAGGGACCAACTGGAGTAAACTTTGGGAGGGCTCCTGAAAGAATAGCCCAGGGGTAAAATATTGAGCAAGGGCAGAGTCAAGGCTCATAGGAACCACGAAGGAGGGGCGCTGGCAGAGACAGCAGCTCAGCCTAACGCTTTTTGGGTTGGTTTTTGGAGAGGCAAGTCCCAGCTGTGGTGTCACAGAGACAAAACGAGGCAGGGGGTGCTGCCAAGCCCCTGCCTGCTCTGCAGCAGCAGCGCAGTTGTTGGTCCCTTCTTTGGGATGAAACAAGTCTTGTTAAACAGAGGCCAGGGATGGATGGCAGCACCAGTGACCAGGCTCTGGAGGTGCTCATATGAGACATTTCAGCCTTTCCCAGATGCACATTGTCTAGTGAGGCCAATCTGGTGCACAGACATCTGGAGCTGTAAAAGCAAGTTGTTGCACATGAGGAGCCTTTGTCGGGCTGTGGAGGGCTCAGCCAGGGTGCAATATTCCCAGCACTCCCACTGGTGGGTGGTACAGCACGCACATGCTGCTGCTTTATTTATTAGCTCCTTAGCTGTTGTAATAACATAAGTATTGATGACTTTATGTTTTCCCCCCTCTTTCATTCTTTACCAGAAATAGCTTCCCTTGTTTGCTCCACAGAGCCCCGCTGAAAGTGGGTGGAAGGACACGCATCTGGGAATGATGTAAAAATAGCACAGGGAGAGGCAGTTGCCACAGTCTGTCCCTGGAGCTCCACAAAGCAAGCGAGAGCTGAGCCTGAGCATGGCAAAACAGGAGCTGATCAGCCACTTCTTTCTCATCATATCAGTTTGGGAAGGCTCAGCTGGATTTGGTTACTGGATGGTGCATGGGGCTGCAGTGACCCAGAGGAGCAGCTCAGGGCATGACCTGGTGCTGTTTCATAATTCAGAAACCCTCTGTTTTCAGCATCCCTGAGATGTAATTTTGATGAATGAGGGTGTTGTCGAACTTTCTCCTGCATATGGAATAGCTGTGCAACTTTGGCATCCTTTGGGGATGTACCTAGAATTAGAATTAGAATTGGCTTGATTGTGAATTTCTGGCTAAAAGAATGAGAAAACTGGTTTTGGTCAGGTTGAAGCAGGATTTGGAAAACATTTTGAGTGAAACAATGAGAGAAAGCAACAAGTGATTTAGTGTGATCTTGGAAATATTTTGTCCCACTCAAGATACCATTTTTTTCTTATCTTTGGAATTGTTTCACCTGTTGTGCACTCTTTTCTCCTTTAATTTAGTTCATTTTGTAAATAATCGGAAATGCAATTTCAAAATTAAAAGATGGAAAATCTCATAAAAAATAATATCTCAAGCATTTTGGCACTTCACACATGCAACATGCCATGTTCAGTAGCATAAATCAGCAATATCTTGCTGGTTATTCTTACCCACTTTCTCCTCTCCATCCCCAGCTTAATTTTTCCATCTGTTTTTACTTCACCGTGCAGATACTGTGTCCAAGAACTTGGTGGGAGCAAACTAATGGTGGTTGCTCAGTCCTTTTTTCTGATTTATTTGAGGATAGTAGTGGTAGCACCTGGGCAGTGACACAGCAGCAGGTGATTGGCATGTGGATGGGAAGGGACATAATGGCTGTGATGGGGAGCTCCTCAGGTTAGACATGGGTTCCTGCTGCTGTTGCATCATCACAGAGACTGATAAGGACCTGGAAAGAGCATCATAGATGTAAGAGATGTATCTGGATTTTCTGAGCAAGGAATATATTGGTGTCGGTCTATAAAAGCCACAAATGTAATCAGCTAAAGGTCAAAGTAATTACTGAGTCTGTGACATTTCCTCCTGGGAAGGAGGCAGCAGGGGCCGTGGTCACAGTTGTGGGTTTGGAAAGTCTTAAATCCCAATCTTCCCTGTAGTTTGGTTATGCCATTAATGCAGAATGAATAAGGAAACAATCAGTTTAGAAACAAGGACTTGGCTTACCTTGCAACCAGCTGGTGGAAATTGCTGCCTTGGGAGGTTGGGAGTGAGGTGACTTGGAGCTGGAGCTGCAAGGATGCTCTTACCTCTGTTAGTGCCACCAGCTGGGTGGGTGTGATAGTGCTAGCTGGGAAGCATTGGTTAGAGGAACAGGCTGCCCACTGGGTACCTCTGATCTCATCCTTTCCTATTAATGACAGTTAAATTCTTTGCTGCTTTAATCCTCAGTGACTTACTTTGCATTTTCTGGATTCAGACAGAAAAAGACGTACTTATTTATTTGTAATAGTGGCTGGAGGACCATTTACTGATGGATTCTGCTGCCTGTGTAAATCAAGTGAGCTCCCACTTTGAATTCCAGTACTTGAATGGCCTTTTCTTCTTTCTCTTTCCCCAGGTGTACGACTTTGCACTATGGCCAGGACCTCCCACCAACAAGTGTCATCATCACCTTCCACAACGAGGCCAGGTCAACCCTGCTAAGGACAATTCGGAGGTAAGAGCTCTGGTGATCTCGTAAAGAATGGTGAGTGAGCTAGAGGTTTTCAGAAGTAAAGGCAGAATCTGTTTGCACTCACGGCAGCAACGGGACTAGCTGCAGTCTCAAATGATGTCTGGGAGAAATTAGAGTGAAAGCTGGTCTTAGAGAAGTAGCTTTTACAGTGGGATGCTCAGGAAAGTAAGGAGCTGTGCTCCCTTTGCAGGGTCTAGCATGGGAAACTCTTGAGGGAGCATTAGCAGATTAGACAGAGTCTGGGATAAGAGCTTTTATATCCATCTAGGTATCAGAGATCAGCTGTGTTTTCTCCCGGTCCTCTAGGGACAGCTATCACTCCACAGATATTTGCTCTGGTAGTGCTGTTTGAGGCTCTCCAGTGACCCATCGAGTGCCAGAAAGGCTTGCTAATTGAGAAGCCCTGATGGCACACACACAGACTAGATTTTCAAAGACAGTTTCTGTACTCCTGCGGGTACATGGTGGAGCGCTCTGGGCATGTGGCCATTCCTTCATTTGTCAGTTTGTTCTTGGCTGTGTTTTGCTGTAGTGAATAGACTAAAGGCTTCATTTTCACTGCAGGTTTTTGAAATCAGTGTTTAATCCCAATATGTGCCTTGAATCTGCAAGTTCTCTTGTGGGAAGAACTGGTGAGGTGTGCCCACCCCACCTTTGAGAGATCTGTCTCCAGGTCTAGGCTGGTGTGTTTCTCAGCAGCAAGCATGGGTACACTCTGGTCTGTGCCAATAGTAAGTGTGTTGCAGATGCACCTTTACCCACCTTGTAAAGGTTTGTGCCCTGCTGAAAGTCTTGTTTCTTAAACCCTGGCATCCCCAGGGACCCCTTGCCATCATTGGTACTGGTCAGACTGGGTTTGCTGGTTACAGGGAGGCTTCAACCGTTCCCTGTTCACTGTCACATCCTTGCTGAGCTTTTCTCTGAAAACAGCATCCTTCCTCAGGTGAGCACACTCAGGGCCACAAGTGAGTTTGACAGTCCTGAAATTGAATTCCTGCTTTGCTTTATGGTTTCATGCCCAATCCCATCTCCTTCCTTCACACTTAATAATCTGTCACTGCCTTTTCTCTCTAGGATGTGTGGATTTTGGGTGATACTGATGCTTGGTGCTCTGTACCACCTCCTTGATCTTGAACCTTCTCTTTTGTCTTTACAGTGCCTTGCATAAATTTGCCATTCTCCAAAACCAATTGTAACAGAGATGGCAGGTGCAGTCCTCTGGCTCCCACTGAGATATAGGAAGCATTAAGTGCAGAGATGGACTTTAATCTCATTTCTCCTCATAACTCAGCACTGGACTGTCCTGCCAGGTACAATCATGAGTAATGTTGTCACATGAAAAATGTTAGACGCATGATACAGCTCTTATGCCTGGATCCCCTGTATCTGGCTTCACTAGAGAACTGTTCATTGCAGTAATGGCAAGGTTAGAAATACAGATAGAATGAATTTTTCCTTCTTCTAGGTTATTGTCTTCTGAAGTTTCTGATTTCCAGCTGTAAAAAGACTTTCTTCCTTGTTCCTCTTATTTTCTTTGCTCAACTTGATTAGTTGGCTTTACTGCCTTCCTTGCCTGGCTGCGTGTGATTTCCACCTCAGTTTTGCCCATGTGCACTGCTCCTTGTTGCTTATGTGCCCTGGCAATTCCAGCACTCCTGTTTGTCTGGGGAGTTTTTCCTGAATTCTAGGGCTCCTTCTGACCCCCCCTTCTCTTAGGTTGATCTCCAAACAATGCCAGAGCCCTGCGGAGCATTCAACTGAGCTGCACCACAGAGGCAAGCCCGGGAAGTGAGGAACTGAGACAACAGCCTTGGGTCCCATGTCTTCTCTGCCTCCCCCTGGGCTGAGGTCCTGAGCTGATCCTCCTTTTTCTGGTCCCCATGGTTTGGAGGTGGCCTCTTGGCATCAGGGTTTACTGTTTTCCTCCTGGATGCAGTGCACAGGGGCTTGCTTTGATACAACCAATGTTAGGAATACCAGCCCTTGGTGGCAAGTTGTGCTGGTGACATGGCTCCTGCTCTGCTTCTCTCTGGTGGTGATTGTGCACATATTGCCACCTCCCTGCCTCTTTTTGAACCCAGCTGAGAGCACATCTGCCTCGTTAGCCTCTGTAGGTTAATTTGCTGTGCCTACTGACTGCTTGGTTTTTTTCCCCTCTTGCTCAGCAAATACTTAGTTTAATTAGATCTTCCAGATAAGTCCATCCCACAGTGGCTGTAACAACATGGATCATTTTCCATGTCTGTTCAAAGTAACCTCTCTCCTCCTGACAGTGCTTTGTGCCTTTTGGGGCAGTCTGTGGCCAAGTGCTTTGAGTGTAGTGGTGACTAAATTGGCCGCTTGTTCTGCCCTATTCTCCCTAGTACATCTCCATGGTGCACTCTTGGGATAACTCAGGTGGACAGACTGAGAAACAGTTCTGTCTGTGACTGGTGGAAGATTCTGAATTGCAAACCTGGTTTCCTGAGTTCCAGGCTGGATTTTCCAGCCTTGTCACAGAAACAATGTTTTCAGCTAATTGCCATAGCAGGAGCAAGAAGCAGGGCAAAGGCACATTGCTTGGCTTGTCCAAAGCCCTGATGCCATAAGGCACCATCCCTGCAAAGGGGGCACTTCCTATAGGACCCCATGTAAACACAGAGGAGTGGCAGAGGGAAATCCTGGTAAAGGCACCATCTATCAGGGGAGGAAATGACCTCTTGCAGAAGAGACTATGTATGTGATGAGCAGGAAGGATTTTGCTGTTCCTGTGATTTTCCTGGGTGCTTGAGAGCTTTCATGTTTCCTGAGTGCTGAGGCTGAGCTGTGTGGCAGGCTCAGTGTGTTTCATGTGGCCCTTGGTAGGGATGTGAGTGCTCTGACCTGTGAAGCAGAGGCAGCAACACGTGGCCTCCACAGCCACCCCTTACACAAGTCACGCTGTGAGTGTTTGGGACCGTTCGTTTATGAACATTTTGCGTTGTCAGAGCTATTGGGAAAAGCTAGTGGACTGTGTTGAATAATGAATTCATTTAAAAGTTTCATGATCTTTGACCATTTGCCAGCTGGAAGTAAAGCAGGGGGGGAAAAAAAAGGCCAAGTTAATCGAATGCCCAAATCTCTGCAAATGGTGTAGTCAGCATTTATAAGTGCATGTGGCTCAACTATGCTTGTGAATACATACAGCTGCCCAGGTAGTAGGGGATGGCTGTCATGAGAAAGACGAATAGAAAAGGGGAGAAGAGGCCAGAAAGGAGGAGATGGTGAATAGCAAAGCAGCTCTTGAGATTTTTTAATATTTTTTAAACTGTGCAGATGGGAGAAAGTACCATTGGGTTGTTTCAACCACTCACTTTTCGAATGACCTTGAACAAGTTTCTTAATCCTCTCTGGTTTGGCTTCATGTATTTCAAGCTCCAAGGTTCAGTACCTTAAAGATGGTGAGAGTCTCCAACAGTACAGGGATGGGACCATGTAAGTAAACCCGACGTGGGAAGGCAGCAGCAAGGGAAAAAACAAGCAGTACAGAGGCATTTAAAATTAACACAAAACAAGCAATTTCTTCTTTCCTGTCTTTCCATCCTATGCTATCCCGCATTTAACAAGGGAATCTCAATCCTGTTGTGTGGGTGACCTGCCGGGCAGAGAGTGAGACAGTCCCGTTTACTCTGCTGAGTGGTTTTTATTTATTTATTCTTCAAACTTGCAGCTGGGGAGCTCAGAGGAGGAATATGGAAACTTTAATTATTTACCTCTGGCTGACAAACCAAAACACGTCCTTTGGCAAAAGTCCTGATGCAAGTGCTGTGAATACCGCATCAAATGTTTAGGTCATTAATTAGCGGGGAGAATATCCTGCCTTTCATTTCCCGGTGCTTATAAGTAAGAGAAGTGATGTCCTGGACAGCCAGCACCTCACACCTTCCTCTCATGCCACTAACTTGTCTGCATCCAGACACGTCCAAGACAGGGAGGTGACAAAGCCGCGCACCTCCTTGCTTCGGCAGCGTTGGCACCATATAGAGTCTGTGCCATAACTGAAATGAGCCTGATTAGAGAAGCAAAAACAAGCCAGGTGTTGCACAGACACTGTATAATTAGCACTTTGTGCTGACTATTTTTTCATTTCTTCTTTTTTTTTTTTCCTGCTTTTTGCTTAAACCCTGGGCTTTTTTTTTTTTTTTTCTTAATTTGCTAATCATCTCTCGTGGTGACTGAGTACACAGCCCTCCATTCGCTTTTACCTTTTGATGTTAACATAAGAGAACCCTTGAATTTCAAAGAGCTTGGTGGGTATTTGAAAGAATAAAATGCGAAAGCCGCAGTGTAATCAAAGCTCATTATGGTTATTCTTGGTGTGATGTCTCTCTTCCTACGTAATTAGCCATTTGGGGTTGTTGAAGCAGCTCATTTTGACGGGCATTTTCTCTCCGCACTCGTGGTCTGATTTCGATAATTGTGACCCTTAGCCCTTTGCACACTTTATTGTACTTCCAGAGGTGGTTTTTTTTTTCCCCCACCAAGTCCAAATATGTTGCCATGGAGAGAATTAAGGGGTTCATGAGTTCTGGAGAATCAGTGTCCACAGTCATCTCTCCAAAGCAAGTGATATTCTGGGTGGTGACTGAAAATATACTGACTTTTGATCAGAAGGTCTAAACTCCTCCAGGCAAACATTTTCCATATCTTATATGTCAGGGTGACTTTTGCACTGGTATTTATTTGGAGTTGAAATTGCTGGATCCAGTGCCTACCTCCAGGTGGGTGGAAAGGGATCCCAACAAATTGTTGAGGAGGATGGAAGAAGGACCTTAACAATGAAAATTTAAGGTGAAATTCTCCATGGCTAAATCTGCATAAGGTCTGCTAAATCCTTTGAAACAAAGAAAATTTCAGCATCGACTTTTCAAGATAATTCAGCAGCAAATCTGGTCTTAATGGATTGAGTAAATAAATGTAAGCACTTTCTGGACTAAAAGCATGAGTTTTCATTTCGATGGCAACAACAGGACTTGTGGCAATTTAAGGGAGAAAATGTTGTGATCTCTGTCTCAACAGAATATAAAAGCTGTTTCGTTTGTTAAAATGTGCCCATCAATGCAGTATATACCTACCTATGTTTGATTTCAGGGAAAGAAATCTATAAATAACAGAGGGACTTCAAAGCACTACAATATTGTCTTCTGATTTTACCCATATAAAAGAGGGAAAAAAGCCGTGCACAGACATAAAGAAAAGAAAGTATTAAAAAAAAAAATCAAAGCCAAGCGGAGGCAAAAGTAATAGAAAAGCCGGCTTTGAATTTTCAGAAGTGCTTTTATAGTCTGTCTGAAAAAAAAAATTCCCATAATGTCGAAAATGTGCAGGATTTGGTGTCTCTGTTTCCCATCCTCCCCAAGGAGTGCCGCAGGAGGGGTGTTTATAGTCTTCTGTGTTTCCAACATCGTGTGCATTATCGTGTGATTAATAGAGCACAGGAAGAAAATGTGTTGGAGTTGTGGATGTGGCTCTGCTGGAAAGCCAGCGTGCTTGCTCTTGGCTGAATTGGGAAGTGGGCTATGGTTGTGGTCTTGCAGCCTTTGGATCTCTTTGTTCCTGCATCAAGGGGCCTTTAGCTTATCAGCAGTTTTTGGGCTTGCTGGGGTCTGTGCACAGACTTGTAAGGGCAATAATGAGCTCAAAGTGTGCTGAAATCAGTAGACATCAGGTCTCTTAGAGCCAGCCTTTGGACCACCCTCACCAGGGTCAGTTGTTTACTGATGTTTTGGAAAAGTGTCATGTGGTAAGGGAGTCCCACAAGAGATTTGACGGGATAGGGCTGTGATGATACAGGGTGAGAAGATGCTGTGTCACCCGCACTGGTGTCTGTCATTAACCCCATGGAAGGATGAGGGTTTATGGAGCCAGAGCAGCTCATGGAGATGTCCTTTCCTTGTAGGTCAGCGTTCTGGCTAAATTTTCCCTCTCCCTCTGGTCAGTGCTCCACATCCCAGAGATGGCCATTGCTGGCATTCAGGGGACATGTTCCATGACCTACGGTGTGGCACGTCCAGGCACAAGAGTTGGCGGCCAGTTCCTTAACCTGGGAACAGAAGGAGCAGCAGAACAGGGGTGGGGCTACACACCTTCCCAACCCAGCGCCATGGGAATTCTCATGCTGAATTTCCTTCTGTAAGAGCTGCCTTTGGGGAAATTCCTCCAAAGGCACCGAGTACCACTTAGAGCCCAGGCCTGAGTCTACACAGCCTAGTGCCACAGTTTTGGTTGAATTATTCTGGCTGGTACCAGCAGAAGCAAGGCTCGTACCCTTTGTGTCTGTCTTCCTGTAGAGTTAAGCCCTGCATTGCACTTCTGGCAGACGAATCCGTAGGGGAGACTAGGCAGAGGCAGGATTTGAATGTTCAAGTTGCCCGCTGCCTCCTCCCCTCCCGCTCTCCGTGGGTTATTTATTTATTTTGCTGGCTTTTTTACAAGCCTGCTTCTTTCCTGCAGGTTTCACCGAGTTAGGTTTCCAGGCAATCAGCGCTTGTTAAATATTCCACTGAGCGTGATATTGCTCTCCTGTCTCTCTCTGCTGACGCTCGGCTGCGGTAATTTGCTGAACTCAGCTCTCGCGTGTGGGGATTTTTAAAAAATAACAAACCTATTAATAATAATAATAATTAAAAAACACTTGACAGGTGGAAACAGCACATCTAAATTGTTCTGTGTGCCCCAGTGGGAGGAGGGGCGCTTAGCCACTTTTTCCTAGTACTCCATGCAGGCTCTGGGTGTTGGTGAGGCGGTGTTGTCTAACTCTGCTTGGTACAAGCCATAGTGATGTCAGGGGGGCCACAGCTGCCGTTGCTGGGGGGGACAGCATCTTCCTTTGCCTCCTCGCTCCAACATTAACAGGCAAGGCAACTGAAGTGGGGGAAAATAATGGGGTTTTTTTAAGATCCTGAAACTGGAAGAGTTTGTGTTTCCAGGGAGAGTCATACTTGGAAGTGATTTTTGAGGACATCCAGAAGGGTGGTGCCAGGCTTGCCCACTCCAGTCTGATATGAAACCTCCTTTTTTCAGGATTTCTGCTGGGGGAAAAGAACCCCCAAACCAACATACAGGGAGCATCCATTATATATGGAAGAAATCCTTTGCTGTGAGGGTGGTGAGGCACTGGCACAGAGAATTTGTAGATGTCCATTTACTGGAGGTGTTCAAGACCAGATTCGATGGAGCATCGAGTACTCTGGTCTAGTGGAAGGCATCCCTTCCCATGACAGTCAGGTTGGGACTACATGATCTTTAAGGTCCCTTCCAAACCAAACCATTCTGTTATTCTGTGATTTTATTTCAAGCATCTGCCTTGGGATGTCCTGTACACCTTCCAACAAAATCCAGCTCAGTTCTCTGGNTTTTTTTTTTTTTTTTTTTTTTTTTTTTTTTTTTTTTTTTTTTTTTTTTTGAGGACTTTTGGGAGCCTGAGAGACTGGGAAAACCTGTTGATGAGAATCTGCAGGGATCAGGGGCTTTAAGGTTGTTAGCTAGTCAGGTGACTGCCCTCTTATGCCAGTGGGAAATTTGAAGGTCTGAAATTTGGGGGGATTTTAAATCCTGTGTGAAAAACGAACCACGCTCGGGATGAAGACAAAGAAGTATAAATGATGGAAAAGCCTGAACAACCTAACTGGCATTATCAAAGCCCAAGCTGAGCACTTAGGAGACCTTTGGGATGTCCTGGGGTTTCTGCTTCAAGAAATCAGCCTTGACCCTTTGCTGGGGCAGGATTTTAAGCTTGTGTAATTCTGCAAACCTCTGCGCTGTGATAGAAAGAGAAAGAACAGGTCTAGGCTTTTTAATAATAATAATAATACTAAAAAAAACCCCTTGGTGGTATAATTAAGGGAAGATTGTAGCTTTTAGCCATGTTTCACAGGAATGGAGCTGTGAACCGCATCCTCCAGCCTCTCTCTTTCATTAACTAGGTGCGCTCCAACCCTGCTCTTATCCTCTCGGCAGCCTCTCAAACACAATCAGCTCATGGATAAAAACAGGAGTTGTCCTGCCGCAGCTGTGAGCTGTGTAAGGATGGGTTTGAGCTGGGTAATTTTCTCTGTGTTGGCCCTGCTGTTGCTGGACACCATATCATTAGCCCCAGAGGAGGTGTTGGGGTGACAGCAGCTTTGCTGTAAGCCCAACTAGGAATCTCGGTGCAATGTGCGTGTTGCTGAAAAGCCAGTTTTTCATGGTGTTCTGCTTTTGCTCACAAGGGTGATAAGGGTGAATCTGAGGCATTTCCCAGGAATACTGAGTGCTTGGCTCTTAGATCAGGCTACAGGGAACTGATAGACAGACACTGTAGATTACTGGGGGGTGGTGGGGAGTGGTTTCTGGGCCTTATCTGGTATACCCTTTCTGGAAATCCAAGCCTGGTTTTCTGTGCTTTGGCAGAGATCAGTTCCTAGGCTTTTCCACTCCGTTTGCTGGGTTGTTAATTTGGTCAAGCACTGTCATGGATTTTCTCTTTTCATCCTTTAGCGTGCTGAACCGCACCCCAGTGCACCTCGTCCAGGAAATCATACTAGTGGATGACTACAGTGATGATCGTAAGTGACCCTTTCTGTGTTAAAAGCAGGAGGCTAAACTGAAGGAGCCTGTGAGAGACTGGGATGCACACAGAGATGGGAGAGAGTTTGCTGAAGTGGAAGGAAATTCAAACCTGTGTAGCTGGGGAGAGCAAACCCTGCTGGGCCAGGTTTGCATCGCCACGTGGAGAATTCAAATTCCAAATGATCAAATCTCTTTTCATGACAATCATACAAGAGAAGCACACGGCAAATCCTTTTTGTGCCCAGTAGACATGAGTCCAGTCCTTACATGGTTGTATCCTACCACAGCCATGGTGTGTCTGATCAGACTCTCAGCTGCAGCCAGGAGCAATTCTGCATTGATACCACTGGAAATGCAGGGGATAATGACAGTCAGACCCTTTGGACCTGTCTATATGTTCTGCATACCATTATGGAGATGGTCAGCAACTCTTGATTTTTTTTTTTTTCACCTGAGGATTCCCTGTGTGGGTTTCCCATTTCTGAGATGCACCATAAATAGCATTGTGCACCACACATCCTGCCCACATCCTCCTGCTGTTCTTTCAGTTAACAGCATGACTCAAGTTAAATCGATAGGTCTGATCTCCAGTAGAAGGTAGCTGAAGCCCCTGGGACTCCCAGGGAACCTCCCCAGCTAAAGACCTTGCCCAGTGCGAAGCGCAAGTTGAAGATCCAGGGGCTGAGAGTAAGTGCTCAAAAATCCTGTCTCAGGCATAAAAAGGATGATAAACTGTCTGAGTGGTCTGTGACACTTACATTTGAAGGAGCTGCAAAATGTAGTGGTTTACTAGGAAGCCTGAAAACAAAGCCAGACAGGCTTTTGAAAACATGAATCTAGGCTTTGCTCTTGGATGTTATAAATAGGCTCTGCCTCAGTGAGCATTAGGGACAGATTTCACACGAGACCCACTTCTTGGCATTGACACCTCCCTGGGAAGTTGCTGAAGCTAGGGGAAGGTGATTACGGTGAGCTTTGGAGTAGCTCTAGCACACGGGGTGGGCAGACTAGACAAGCCTGTGGTGGGGAAAAGGAGCAGGTGCAAGGACTTGAGCTATGCTGGAGTACAGCAGAGCAGGATTTTTGAAGGGTAGAGGAAATAAATGCCAGGTATTTGGCTAAATAAACAAAGCACTTGCCTTCCTACAAGCATGCCAAGAGCCATGAGCCATGGAGAACTAGCAGGGCTGGGTTTAAGCTCATCCCAGGGCACCAAAGGGGAGCGTGTTTCCTGCGCAGCTTAGAGCAGCCCCTCAGCTACTCAGCACTTCTCAGCTCTCTGACATCTTCTTTCCTGTGATAGTCTGAGCCTGCTGGCATCTGCTCTGCATGCATTTACATAAAATGCATGTATTTGCATAATACACTATACACACATGGTCAGTTTTTTCCCTGCAACCCACCCCAAACAATTAGTGCTTTTATCTCATGCCCAATTGTCTCTCATTTCTCACCTCTCTCTGCCTGCTGGCCTTGTTATTCAGTGGGATGCAGTTTTTCTGCATGTGAATTCCCGCTATTCTCAGCAGAATTCCACTGTAGGTCCGTAGCCAAGCCCTGCCACTTCTGCTCCCCTGTCTCAGCTCTGTCCCCGAATTGCTCAGGGTATGGGTACAGTGATGTCTCTTTACCAGCAAAGATTGCTGGAGGAGATGAAAGTGCTCGGAGGTGGGTGCAGGTGCAGGGGCTGAGCAGAGGGGATGGGGCACATGTGTGTGTGTGTGTGTGTGTGTTTATAGCACCAAGGAAAAGGAGGCAGAGCTGTGAGAGGCATGAAGGGGTTGTGGAGGTCACAACATGAGGGTGCAGAGATAGAGGGGACTGTGATGGGTGCATCTGCCTGCAGACCCAGCTCTGGCCCTGCTCTGACATCCTCCACTTTGCTGGGAAAAATCCAAGTGAAGATGGATGCTGGTGCTGCAGGCAGCACCAGGGCAAGAGCAGTGGCAGTGACTGTGTGTGGAATTGCAGGACCTCCCTAGCTCAGGTGTAGGTGGCTGTCAGGCCTTTCTGCCCTGTAAAGCTGCTACCCAGGGCATGAGGAGCCCCCAACTTGCTCCCCAGGACTCTATTTGACCATCCCTTTCTCCTCACTGAAGCCTCCAGGCCACCACCGGAAGCTCCTACCCTGCCAACCAGACACACATCAAACAGCTTGTGTGTTGCTTTGCAGCTTCCAAAAATAGTAATTTGCATTACTGTGCAAAAAGTCAGATTCTGACCCCAACCACAGCTCTTCTGTGCTGATTTTAGAGCATAACTCAGCTGCTCTCAGTGTCAATCTACTGAATTTACACTAGTTTCATGAAAACTGCTGCTCTGCCAGTCAGAATTTATGCTGCATGAGCTGAGGGGTAAGAGTGTTGTGACCCAGCAGTGCTATCACCCTAACAAGCCATCGACCAGTCCAGGACAGGGTCCTCTCCATGCTCCCAGTCTCTCCTAGGATTCCCCATTTCTGCTGCTGGAGCCCCCCTGAGGGCTGAGGGTGACATGTCCTCCCTTTTGTGTTTCCCAAGCTGATGACTGCCGCTTGCTGGGCCAGCTCCCCAAGGTGAAGTGCTTGCGGAATGGACGGCGAGAAGGTAAGAGCTCCCTGCCACAACCCAGGTGGGATACCCAGATTCTGGGAGGTGTGAGAGCGATGGAGTCAGGGGACACCTCCATGGAGTGGCCGACAAGGAGGTCAGTGGCTCCTGGGGACAGAGGGGCCATGATAAAAGGGGATGTGATAAAGGGCTGGGATTTGAAATGGATCTCCCCTCTCTTGCTGAAAAAGATGGGACTATTAAGATATCCAGTGAGGCTCAGCTGTAGCTTATTAGCCAGAAAATTAGAACAGGCAAAACAAAGCCCCGGGTCTTATTTGTAAAGATGTTTGCACTAATGAAAGAGAGGAGATCTACTCCTGCTGCTTCTGTGGGATTTTTTTTTTTTTAATAATTAATTATATTTGAAAGATTAAGAAGGGCTATATGGAGGATGAATGTATGTCTGGGCTGCTGCTGGCAACCTTTTGAGACATTTTCCAGCTCCCTATAGCCTGCATGTGTGCTTTCAAATTCTGCCTTGCAGTATTAGGAGAACAAAACCCTAAGTTTTTTCATGCTGCAAATCAAAGGTGTGAGTCCAAGCGGGTGTTGGGTTGAGGAGACTGAGGAGTGGAGATTCATTGTGGTTTCTTTCTGCAGATGGTTTCAGCTCTGCAGATATGGTGACAGGGTGGCATCAAATCTCATGGGTGTAAGAGACTTACCTGCTTTGGCAGGAGAGTAAGGGAGGTCTCCACAGACCCTCACCTCCTTCTCACCTTTCTGTCCTGTGTGATGGAGGTGCACATGTGCTTATCTCCAGCACGTAGACCCACAGGTATTAGTGCTCTATAAATCAGTCAGAATGTGGAAAGCCAGCCTTACCTTGCTTAATACATTGCTAACCCAGGACCTACATTGCTTAATACATCACCTAAGTTGTATTCCTCAGGGCCTGCTGGGATTTGGGGAGATTTAGGGTTGGTGCAGAACACACACCTGCCCAAGAGATCTTTGGAGTTGTAGAGAGAGATACAGTGACAACCTGTATTGTAGGAAATGACCTTGGCAATTGCTGGATTGTTCCAGACTTTGTTCTCCCGTCCCTCTCCCTCCTGCTCAGAGGCTGTTCCTTGACCCTGTTCCTCTAGGGAATTTTAATATGAAAGTTGGTGAGCTTCTGCATGGACCTGATGTGTGACTGCTCCCTGAAACCCATCTATCTCTCTTTATCTGTCTCTATGTCCCCTCATATTGCCACTGTTTCTCCTGCATAAAGAAGCTCTGCTTTCCTTGAGTCACCTGCATCCCCTCGTTTGCCAACAGACCATCTCCTTTCTTGTGCTGCAGTTCACTTGAGCATCAACTACATGCAGGAGGAATGTTGAAAAGCTTTTTAACTCCTGCATAAAGAGGAACAGATCATCTTTAAGAGCAATGATTTTGCTGAAGAGTCTAGTGTGAAATCCATGTGTGCAGCTGCCTTTCATGACCTCCTTCTTTTTTCATTTTTCTCTCTTACAAACACATACAGCAATCCACTCCCATCTCCAAAGGATTCTAAATTCACCATCAGGGCCCTGATGAGCCAAGTGGGCTTCTTAGTACCTTGAAAACCAACTCTGTTTCCTTGGTAGAAAATTTGTTCCCATTGAGCTGCAGATTTGCAAGTGCCCCCAGGGTGGGAGAGAGATCTGGGGGTCACTGGGACACAGAAAGGGGCACAGCAGGGGAAAGTTCACAGTCTAAGAAAAACTTAGTTCTGGCATGAGGTGATCCTGCCCTCAGCTCCCCTGGTGCTTTCCCCACTGCCTTACCTCTGTATTAGATTTATTACCTGAAGGGGGTCATGAAAGCTTTTGAGTCATGTTTTGCCTCGGAATGTGACAGCAGAATTAATTGTGCAAATTAAGGATTGGCATAAATGGCATAAATCATATATCTTGGTGGAGCCATTTATTTGCTTTGGGGACCTTAGGAAGTGGTTAGCTTACCTTGCAGCATCAGGATGGAGGCAATGAACTCGGGCTGTGTTTCATCTGAATGAGGTTCAGGCAGGTCAAAACCCAGGGAATGCATGAGTGCAGGAGAACATGCTGGAGGAGCCTGGGGGTGCTACCCAACCATCTGGACAGCAGCTGACGTGGTGTGTCCCTGAATAGGTCTGATCCGGTCCCGAATCCGAGGGGCAGATGTGGCAAAAGCAGGTGTCCTGACCTTTCTGGACAGTCACTGTGAGGTGAATAAGGACTGGCTGCTCCCTCTGCTGCAGAGGATCAAAGAGGTGAGTGTTCCTGAGAGACCAGGATCACCCTCAGGGGTTGTATCAGTGATGTCCACCTCCTCTTCCCTTTTGATGGGCGTGACCATCCACCCATAACCAACTGCATCCGAGGCATCCGAGTAAGGAAGTGATGAACTTTTGGGGTACAAAGTGGCCTTTTCTGGTCTTCCTCCACCCAACAGCCAGATGAGGTGTCTCTGTGACTGGGAGAGCATGTGGGTGGGTGGGACAAGGTGTCTCCTAGGGCAGTGGGACTCTTAACTAGGAAGCGCAGGTTGAGTGGTGAAAGGGGAATACGTGGGCAGTGCTCCAGCAGAGTTTTTAATTAGGCTCATGTAAAATGCTCAGTGATGATGATTTAAGGGAGTGACGGCTCCTTGAATAGGGGCCGAATTTAATTTCATGCAAATTAAGCTCTAATAAATTGATTTAATAGGATTTAAATTCTGCTGATTTCGGAGCAGACAATGACATTCGCCTTTTGCCGGCGGCGACTCTCTCGCCAGACGTGCACACGGAGGTTTCCCGGTGCCTTGGCACTCCAGTCAGGGGAAACTCTGTGCTGGTGACCTGCTGACGCCAAGGTGCAGGGGATGAAGCCTTCAGCTTCAGCACGGATGCATGATCCTTTGCCTTCTCCATGCCTTGTTCCTTCACCCTTGTTACACCTCTGGCTTCTCATTGCTAGCGTTAATTACTCAGTGATTTTAAAATTACTGAACTCCATTGATATAAGGGCATCTGAGGGGCAAGGGAAAGCTGAGGTACTGGGTCATGGAGAAACCTGCCTGGCTGGTGTTCACGGTGCCCCTCATCCAAGGCATCCTGCTTTTCACACCTCTGTATGTGATAGCTGTTCTGGGCTGTCTGTCCCTCTGCAGTAGGAGAGGGCTGTTGGTGCTGCTGGACTGAGTCCTTCTCCAGTTGGAAGTCAGGCGATCTATAAGCTTGCACTGCTGCTCGTGCTGCCCTCACCTTGCCCACTATCTTGCAGTCTCAGGCAGCAAGGGAGACATACTACAAAGAGTGTTGAGGGACTTGCAAAGCAAGGGGAGTCCCACTTGCTTGCTTTTTAACTGCTCATAGGAGCTGCAGGGTATGGGCAGAGTTCTTGGTTTCCTTCTTCCCAGGCCCACCCTACCCATCCTTTCCATCAGGGTAAAAATATTGATCAGTGAAGTGTATGAAATGTTACTGCTGCCACCTTCAGGCTGTACGCAAGAGATGGGTTCCCTGTCCAACCGCTCTGTGAGGATCAGCCACCTAGGAAGAGCACTTTCTCCCTCTGCTACTCCTAGGAACAGTCTGTTTTGAGCTAATGTGATTTAAGTTCTAAGCAAATGGGTGCTGAGCGCCTCAAAGCACACCTGGTCACTTTTGCCACCACCAGCCACTCACCCCTGCACATCACTTCCCTTGTTTTCTCAGCCAGAGGCAGCTGTTCCTGCAGTTTCCATGGCAGAAACACCAGGGCCCACATGTGCCACCATGCATCCATGTGAAAGTGCCCCTCAAGCTTTACATCAAGCTTTCCCAGCAGCCGATGGTATCCCCCTGAGTCTGACACTCACTTGTGGGTGTGGGTAGCACATACCCAGCACATGGATTTGGAAACAAGCAGGAAAAGCAAGTGATGGGATGTGGGGGAATGATGGGGAGTCTGGGGGGTCTCAGACCTGTGTCTGGGAGGGTGTATGTGCCAGGGAGTGACAACGATGGTCGGTGTCTTGCACCACCTTGTTTGCAAATGCATGACTGAGAGTACATGGGCTCTTGTTTTTAACTTATGGAACAAATATCTCTAAAGCTATTAATGGTGCATTTCAACTGAATAACTTTTCTAAAAATGTAATTATGCAGCCTGAGGTATTTTTACAGTATGACTCAACTGGATTTGCAAATGGCACTGGGATAAACCAGTGAATGGTGACGCCCCCTACTTCCAGCTCAAATACCTCTCCAGTCTGGTGATCTCTTGGGAAGGGGAATGCACATGAGGGACAGCTTGGCCCTCTTTCCTTGCTTGATCCTGCTGTGGGGCCAGAGGAACAAATGTGGCCCTTTTTGTTGACCATTACAAGGTCATGATGTAGAGACCGGGAGACAAGCTGCAGCCAAAGTCCTTCTCTAAGGCTGAAATGTACTTATTACCTTGAGGACCATTTTCAGAGTTTTTTGCTGTTCCATACAATTTCGATCCATACGTTCATATGTTTGAGAAGTGAATAGGAGAAATGAATTCTCAGGTATGTGAAAGAGGATTGAAGGTTTGAGTGTTGTTAACATTAACATGCCCTGCCATGGGTGGGTATCAAAAAAACAGAGATGAAACTGCCTACAATAAGATTGGTGCTCAACCTTAAATAAATCATAGCAACAACGCTGTGCTCTTGAGCATGCCGTGCTTTTCTTTTGAGGGTCAGACAGACCTTGACGAAAGCTGAGTAAATATAAATGTTCTGAGGACGTGGCAGGGAAAGTGAGGCAGGGAGAAGACAGCACTGCTCAAGGGTAGCGTTATGCAGTAATGCACTCAGCCCAGGTGTGAAGGGGATTTTCTTACAAGAAGTTGTGCTGTGCAATGAGTAGCAGTGGGATTGAAATTGGGGATGAGTGTCAGCTAACTAGAAGTGCTCACCAGTAAGATGCTTGAGGGGCAAGTTTTAAATGAGTGTATATAATCCTTTCCCTGTAGTGTACAGCACACAAAGCAGATGCTTTGCTTAAAACCTTTCCCCTACCCTCAGGCAACTGAAGGATGCTTTGCTATACTGGGCTGTGGCAGCTTGGGGGGCACTGTGCAGCAGCCACTGTGGGTTTGACGGGTTTGAAAGGCTCATCGTGCTTGGATGTGTCTTGAGTTTCTCCATGCAATACATAGACACAGCAGACCTTGCCCTTTCAGTGAGATGTTTGACTCACAGAAAATGATGGTAAGACCCCTGACTTGACCTTGTTATGGAAATACCAAGTATTTGTCATGCTCGGTTGGAAAATCAGCTCTAGTCCAGCTGCCAGCTCATGGCCTTTGGTTGCTTCTTGCTACAGCTGCATTTGAATACTCCTTTGTCAGGACTAATTTCTAAAACAAAGTCTTTTCCCAATGAGAGAGCAAGCCCGTGTGTGCTCAGATCCTTTCCTTTGTATGGCTGTGAAAAACAATTTGATCTAGTGAGGGTAAAACCTTGAAGTTTGAGCTATAATTGGAGTTTGGGATTTTCGAAAAGAAAAAGGGAGATAAGAGACCAGTCAAAGCTGTCAGTGTCTCTTCCTCCTGTAGATATTTTTGTTCATAACTGTTTGTATAATCTCTTTGCCCATAACAAGATGTTAATTAAATCACCACCAACTATTTTAAATAAATCAGGTCTTCTTTTTTTAACCCTTTCACACCTTTGGCAAAACTCTTAACTGTATTGCCATAGTTTGTGCATTTTAAAAAATACCTGTATTTGAGCTGTGTTTTTCCTCTGTCATTTCAATTGCCTGTTTGTCACTTGGTTTCTGAAATCTGGCTAAAAGGGAGGTGAAAGGGGAATACATTGGTGAATTTGCAAAAGGCAGAAGGAACTTTGCATCCAGCCCTCCAGCTTGTGGAGGGCAAGACTGCGGGTGAAGCCCAAACTGGTGGGAGATGCCAGCTCAGCAGCCCAGCAGCACACAGCCGTCTTTCCCAGGACAGACAGTGCCTGTCTTTCCAGCCTCTCTTGCTGACATGTGCCTGGCTCGCAGCAGTACCTCTGCCACTTGGTGCTGCAGCCATTAATTCCTTGGTTGAATTGATGTGATGGCTGAGGAGGAGAAGGAGGAGGCAGTGATGGGCACTGATCCCTGACAAACCTGAATGACACCAACGTTTCCAGCCACCTGATGTCTGCAGCAGTTTGGAGAATCCCTCGACCAGTTTGAGTGGTGTCATCTGAAGTCATATGTCTCCTGCTTTCCAGGATCCCACCCGAGTGGTCAGCCCCGTTATTGACATCATCAACTTGGACACTTTTGCTTATGTGGCAGCATCCTCAGACCTGAGAGGAGGTAAGTCCCAGAGTCGTGCGTGCCCTGTTGGTGTCCATCCACGGTGTGAGCATGCACTGGCCTGAGGAGATGGTGGCTTTGCACCACACCTCTGGCTTCTGGTGCCTCATAAAAAAGGCGCATTAGTGCTGTTCAGTGCTCCCTGCTGGCTGTTTCCTGGCTATTCTAGAGGCAGGTGAGCGTGGCGTGAGGAATGGTGTTTGCTGCAGTGGATAAGGCAGTCAGGCGGGAAAGAAGGGTCATGTCAAAGCCACCCTGGGCAGCACTGAAAGTGACAGGAGGAGATGGGGAATGTCTAGGCAATAAATGAAGGGTGCAACTGTAGCACTTATTAGTATGCCTGTGCTATTTGTAGCATGCAGTATCCATCAGAGCGTGTATCTGTGTGCACAAGGGGACTAAATAAGGTTTCAGCAGCAGCTTTAATTCTGATTTTTCCTGCCTTTGGAATGCTTTACTTTGCAATTGTAATGCAATGTGTTGTTTCTTGTTCATATGTAGTAGTAAAATATGTTAGTGATTGGACTGTTCTCCCAAAAGCTGCATCTCTGTGGCTTAAGTCATTTGAAAGTGGAGAAAGCGCTTCATCAAACACAGCTTCTGCATCCTGCATTGCCTCCCAATTCATACCAATTTCTAATGTCCCCATGGCACTTCTCTACTTTGCTTTCAGGTTTTGACTGGAGTTTGCATTTCAAATGGGAGCAGCTTTCCCCGGAGCAGAAAGCCAAAAGACTTGATCCCACCGAACCCATTAAGTAAGTCAAGAAGGGGTAGAAGGCACCTGTGGGGCAGGACAGACTTTCTTCTCTGACCTCATGTGTGTCCCCATGCACCATAGCAGTGTGGTGCTTCTTCCAGGACAGCTCTGAACTTCTAAAACCTATAGCAAGCTTCTGGCTAGCCTGGGTTTTGCAGTACAGGTTCACCCCCAGCACTGAAGCCTGAGAGTGCCACAAAGGTAGAAGGGATATATTTATGGTTATTGGTGTTTTGGTAGTGCTAAGGAATGGGGTTAGGGAAAAAGCCCAGTGCTGTAGACTACTGCTTCTCTCAGCTCAGATGTCACTTGGCCCACGTGATAAAAACACAGTGTCTAGGCCAGCCTTTCCAGATCAGTGCTGCTCATCTGGACCTCAGTGAAGACTCCTCAGAAATGGGGGGTGCAGGAGAGAGAGCAAAACTGAAGAGGAGAGATGCCATCTGTCCTCATGCCGTGGGATGGAGGGAGTTCTTCACTCTGCTGAAAATCTCTCCTGGCAGCAAGCCTGATGCTGGTGTCTGCAGTCCCATCCATGAAGCGCTGGGGTGTGAGGCATGGAGGAGACTTGTGCCAGGAAACAGCGATTCTCCTCAAGCTGTCTTCTGGGTCTGCCCTCCCCTCCTCCATGGACCTTCTCTGTGCAGTTTTCTTAGCTAATCCAAAGTCTGAAAAATAATCCTGTTTTGAAATAAAGATCACACAGCTAGTGACGGCTTTTAAAAAGCCCTTCTGAATTGGCTCTGCCTTCCTCTCCCCAGTGGAATAGTGCTCTTAATAGGCTGGCTCCAGGCAAAAAGCCAGTCTGAGTGAATAACCCCCCCAAGTGCTAAGTGCATTTTGGATGCTGAAGCCTACAATCAGGGCTGTGAACTTTGGACTTGTAGGAGTTGTACTAACGGGTGCATTAGCCAGTCATTAAGTGCCAGGCAATTTATGATTGACAGCAAAATACCAAGGCAGCAGAAAGAAAGGCTCAGATGCATTTTGAAGTATATTGTCCGGTTTTTTTTGGTGAGAAGAAAGTACATAGGTCATGTCCCAGTGATGGAAAAGGAGGCAAAGGGGAAGGGCAGCTTCTGTGAATCCGGGTGCTAAGGCAGTGTTTGAAAGTGTGTCCTCTCTTCCTTACCCCTTCTGCAGGACACCCATCATTGCTGGAGGGCTGTTTGTGATCGACAAAGCCTGGTTCAACCACCTGGGGAAATATGACAGTGCCATGGACATCTGGGGTGGGGAGAACTTTGGTGAGTCGTTCTTGTTCCTTCTGTGCCTTGCTGTTGGTTTCTCTTTCTGAGCCATACCAGATGGACACAAGGTCATTTTGGACTTTGCTTTCAATGCTCTGGATGGTTTCCCTCACTTACATTCATAGGTTGTGTTCTCAGCAGTGTAAGGGATCCAACAACCATATTGTTGGTGGGAATGATGGGAGGTGAGCAATTGTTGGGACTCAGGACTGCCTGTCTTCCATGTTGCTTTGATGTTCTGTAGGTAAATACCCTAAACCACAGAGTTTTCAGCTTTGATGTTACCCTTATATTCTTTCCTGATCTTATTTTCCCCTTAATAAAGCAAAGATGTGTCTTATTCCATTGCCAACAGCATTTCAAAACTGTGAACTGAGGCCTCAGTGCCTCCTTGAATTTGCAGAGTAACTGGAACAGTAGCTACCTCAGCATGCTACAAACAGGTGGCAAAGTAACACGACTGCTTATCCATTCCTGTGTCACTGACTGGCTGAATGCTGCAAGGCTCTCACTTTTCCTGCACCAAAAAGAATGGGTTAAGAGCTGACCTAAATTCAGTCACTTCTGCCCCTTATCACGGAACAGGATGGACATTAGGAAATCTCCTGCATGCAAACTTGAGAGGGCACATGAAAGAGGTAACAGCCTGTCCCTTGTCCTCCTTGTCAGGCGGAGCTGGATCAGTTTCGGCTGTTCTCTCTTTGAAGCTGTAGCTGTATGCAGGAAAGAAGAGGGAGGCATTCGATGTCAGTGAGACACATCAGAACCTGGCTTTAATAGCTTGCACCCCTGGGGAGTATGGCTAGCCAGGAAGGAAGGATCTTGTGTCTTAACACATACAGCAATGCTGTCAGTCATCCAAGGGAACAGATGCTGCCACCTTGCAGTAATCCATTCACTGCCTGGCACTGTTGTTTGCTTCATGTGCCTTTTCCCCCTAGATATATTTCATTCAGTTATATCTTGTTGTGCAGTAGGATCTCATTCCTTCATGCTTTCTCTCTGTGGGTGGGTATCTTGCCACCAGACTGACCCAGAGCGTCTGAGTGGGGTGGCTCTGAGGAAATCAAAGAGGGGAGTGACAGCCCTCCTGCCTCCCCCGCTGAATCAATAGCCCAAACAAAGAAGGGAACTAGACAGGAAGAGAGGTGAAGAAGGACTGTCACGCTGTGTCTGAGCTGCTGTCGCTGCTTGTCATTCGCCTCTGACAGCAGCCAGCCCAAGCTGCTCCTGGGAGATGAACAGTGACAGGACAGCCTGCTCTCAGGGGAAGCTCCATCCTGGTAGCTTGTCCAATGGCCTGCAATGGCAGGCACTGTGCTCCTTACATGTGGTTATGGCCCATCTTACAGAACAGAGCACAAGGTTTCCCTTACTGGTGCTATGCCCCAGAAGGCTGGTTCCAGCTGAACGTACAACTGGCCGTGCTGCAGGGTGTGCCAGGACATTGGTGTGACAAAGGAAAGCCAGGCAGGTTAACTTTGCAACAAAGTGCAGTTCTGCGTAGTAGCAGGGCAGATCCTCTCTTACCCGTCGCCCTGAGAGCAGAAGTGTGCCCGGCTCACAGCTGCATCTCCTGCAGGCACAGCGGTCAAGGGCAGTGTGTCCCATCCCTCCTTTGCACATAAGCAAGGGCAGCTGAGACCCTCCCGGGCCCAGTCAGTTCTGGGCAGGTGATGGAGAGCAGGAGCTGACTAAGCAGCTTCTCATTTTGGGCACTTCCAGTGAACCATGCTTTTCCTGGTAGCTTAGTCCTGAGGGGATGCAGGGCTCCGGTCCTGAGAAGCATCACTGCTGCTTTTAATGTTATTGACTGTGCAACTAGAGGGGGCTGGAGACTTTGGGCAAAACAAAAAGGAATCTCTTTGTGTTGGAAGGAAGACATTGTAGGTGTTTTGCTTCTTAAATGTACTTAATTCCCTCTAGGTGAGTAATGACAGAAAGGATTTGCAGGCCAGCAAGAAATGCTAAAGATATTTTGCCAAGTGAAGGCCAAATCCAGCGCACCCCAATGCGTACTTCCCACATCTCTCCTGGGAGTTGCTTGGAGGGGCCACTTGCACTGGCAACATCTCTTGAGGGTCAAGTGATGCACACTGTCATTTCCTGTTCCCCTGGTTCCTCTGAGTTGACCCTGTGCCAGGCTTTAGATGGTGCCTCAGTTTACCTTCCCTTGAGGCACTTAGCTCTTGGCTGCCTGTCTGGAGACCTTGTGTGTTAGCTGCCATGAATGACTCCCTGGGTCACCCCTACTGGAGGAAACCTGTGCTTTAATAGTTTCTGCTGGGCCTAGAGCAGGGTCTACAGGCTAAAACTAGTCTGAAGCAGGGAACTCAGAGTCCTTACCTTCTCCTGCCTCCCCAGCACTGTGTCCTTAGTCCAGTTTGCAGTGCACAGAAATCACGTCTTCATTAGGCTTTAAATTAAGACCAGGGGAGGACTGAGTGGTGCTAGTCTTTGCCTTGTAACACTTCATGGAGCTACTCTTCTCCCAGGCTGAGCAGAAGGACCAGAGGAGGGGAAGGCATGATGGAGTAGCCATGTTGTGGTCCAATCCACAGCTGCTCGTCTGGTTATTCCCTTTTACTGGGCACCCTTCTAATTTACACGACAGCACCGGCAGAGTGGCCAGTGCCGTGACACACGGACAAATGAGAGCAACAGCCATATGCAAGGGGAACTGAGCACAGCAGCTTAGAGTGGCCATATCCTGCCGTAATCTCATTTCCCTGCAGCTGTGATTAAGGTTGCTCCCAATACAGCACCAGGGCATGACATAAAGGCGCGTTTTATTGACCTGTTAATACCCAGCACCGGGGAAAGTGGTGAGGCTCCAGCTGCTGTTGCAGCTCTTGCATGTAAACACAGCAGTGAAAGGAAGGGCAGGGAATTCCTTGAAAGAAATACTCCTACCTGCTGTGCTTTCCCACCTCTGCCATTGTTTGCCCCTGCTCTCAGGGCCAGCTGTTAGGGATGGGATCAAGCCTTGAATTTTGGGCCCGCGCACCAAGGCTTTGCAGCTGTGCCAGCCTCCCATTTCCATCAGCTCAGGAGCAGACGGGTGTGTTGGGAGTGGGATGGGAGCAACACGAACCTGGCTTCCACCTCTGCAGCAGCATGCAGCTTGGCGCTGAGCCGTGTCTGCTGAGAAGGCTTTGGAGGTCCAGGCTCCAGTCCGCCTTTGCTCCCTGAAACTGTGAGTTGTTTTTGGAGGGATGGCAGCTTTGTGGGCCAGCAGTACCTGCTCTTGGAAGAGGAGGAGGCCTGTCCACATTGCCCGATTGGCCTGCCTGCCACAGGTGCTTGTCTTGCTAGCATCCGACCTGGGGACAAGTCATCCTTGTGTTGGCATATGTGAGGGGACTGCTGGGAGCACAAGCTGGCAAAGATGATGGGTGTCCTCCTGGCTTAATTCTGTAGTTAAGTGTGGGGGGGGGTGTGTGAAAATGAATTATAAGTTTTGGAGTAGATACATGCTACCTATAGCTCTATACTGTCAACAGATGATAAAATAGGATTCAAAGAGCCACAGAAGCCTTTTAATTTTAATTTCTTTTATTTCTTTTCCATGCTTGTTCTGTCTGAGCGTGACTTCCTGATAATAGAGCTGCAGATTCATAGCTTCATAAACATTAGGGCCAGATGGGCCCATTAGATCAGCCATTCTGTTCACCTGTCCTACCTCATCCAGCTCGCTGCCAAGAGCTCTCTAACTAACTGTGCCACGGGCTCACTTTCTTTGAGAAGGGCCCCATGGGCCAGCCAGTGAGTGGCTTGGAGTGACTGGTAGTCATTTCCCCTACTGACAGCTTATCTAGACTTTTGAGATAATCCCTCCCACCACTGACCTTTGCTTGTGTGAGGATGTGTGCCATATTGGACCACAACATTGGCACCAATGGCCCAGAGTGCCTGGGCAGGGTAAACTCTAGTCCATTTTGGGACAGGCGATGGATGCACAGCTCTCTGTTGAGTTTGCAGAATCAATGCTGGATTCATAAAGAAAATGATGGTTAAAGTCATTAATAAAGAGAATTCATAGCCTCTCGTGGTGAACTTGACAGCCCTTTGGAGGGAAGTGACTCTGAAATAGGCAGTGCAGAAGTAATTAGGGGAGCACAAAACTGGCAAGATGATTCTGCAATGTAAGCGGGGCTGCATGAAAAGGGACCTGCTTACTGTCTCATGCTTGCCATTGTGATAGCACCTGCTGTGCTAGAGGCAGGTTTCAAGTGCACTGACTTCAAACAGCTTTCAAGAAGCTTTGAAATGCACTTTTAAGGCAGTTGTGCCTAGGAGAGCCCCTCTGGTAATTGATTTACCCCAGTTTAATGTGGCAGGGGATGAAGTGAGAGCTAACACTAGGATCCAGACTGCTCTAGGACAAAAAGACAAAATGCTGAAGCTGCTTCTCTTGTAGAAATCTCTTTCCGTGTGTGGATGTGTGGAGGGAGCCTGGAAATCATCCCCTGCAGCCGCGTTGGTCATGTCTTCCGGAAGAAACATCCATATGTCTTTCCAGAGGGAAATGCCAATACATACATTAAGTAAGTGGCTCTGTTTTTTTTGTGAAACAGAATGAGGAGCTGCCTTGTAGGGAGTGGGGAGAAGAGAAGACATGGAGGAAAGTTTGTTTAGAAAACTCTGAGTTATCCTTGGGTAGGAGTTTCCTCAGCCAAAGAACATGTGTTTTGATACAACTGTCCCACAGGATTTCTACAGTGTCGAGAAAATGACAAAAGTAGGACATTTATATGGTACCTCTTCATCAGCACGGAAATGGAGGAGTGGCCCCAGCGCATCCCTGACCACTAGGCACTAGAACAGCAAATGGTTTACACCTTGAGGTCATCAGAACACATTTATAATTACCTGAAATCAGGCTGCCAGCAATGTCTGTCAGTACCCAGTGACCTTAGCTGAGGGTTCAGCATGGCTCAGCTGAGCCAGAAAATTTGGTTCCCAAGGTCTCTCCAAGAGGGGAGCCAAGCATCTTGCTGGAGTGGGTGGCTGTACCTCTGGACTGATTCTGCCTCTTGAGCAGAGGCAGCAATGGGCTGCACCTTGCTGGCATGGACACTGGAACAACTGCCAGGACATCCCAGCTGAAGGAGACCTCTCCTCAAATAGGAACATAGGCTGAATCAGGTACTAAATGGCTGGCTGATATGGGCTAAGATCCAGAAAACATCAGGCAAAGAGGAAGGCAATCCAGAAGCAAGAATAGGCATGGGAAAGTTGATGGGAACAGCTAGCGAGGTGGGGAAGGATATCCTCTGTTTTTAGAGTGTGAGGCCGAAGGTTGTTGCTTAAGTAAATGACAAACACCAGCGGCACTTACACTAAATGCAGGGTTGTTTCTCAGCTAACCTGCAGTTGTGAGTGCTTACACACCAGGCATTCCTTTTAGTGCAGGCTTCCCAGTGGTAGAAAGAGCCAACAGCATTTGTGAAGACCCGGGCTCTCTGCAGCTTCCCCATCCTTTACATGAGACAACAAGCTGAGGGAGTGCAAATTACACCTCTCAGTTACACCTCATTCATTATTTCCAGCCATACAGTGTGTGGGGCATTAAGGGGACCTTGGTGCAGGAAGGGGACCTTGTGAGGGGCACAGGGCATTTCTGGCATCAAGGACAGCAGGAGTTTGAGGGTCATGAGGAGGGCTCTTGCTTTTAGTATTAAAATAAGATTCATACAGAAGAGGCTGGGATGTGGCAAAATCTCCGGTGCTGAAGTCGCTGCAAACCTGAAGAGGTAGTGTCTGTGTTACATCACCTGCAGGAGGAGTAAGGAGAGCTTGAATGGGTACAGTTACTTCTCGCTGCTTCTCAGGCACAGGCCCCTGGGGACCTAGGGGATGCCTGTATCACGTAGGTATGAGCCTCGTCATTTATCCGCTTGTTTCTTGTAAACCCAGATGAGATCAGGAAGCCAAACAAAAGAACCTTGCCCTTTGGGGAAGGTTAGGTACAGATGTAGACACTGATTCAGTCATCTCTTGAGCAAGAGTACTTAAACTATTTCCTTAGAGAGAGGGGAAGAAGCTGGTGAATCAGCAAGGAACTGAATAGCAGTCAAGAGAAACATACCTGTAGACATCAGGAGCTTGGATGTTATTAACCCTATGATATCCATCAGCCTTAAACTTAATATTAGAGTGTATAGACTGAGAGGAGAAGCAGCTTCTGGCGACCTGATGCCACGTAGTACTTCTGTTTCAATAGAGATGTTAGCAAAAAATATCTCCACCTTTCTTCCAGATGCTGATTTTTTTTTTCCCTCACAGCCCCTACTTCAAAGTGAGCTCAGGCTCCAGTGTAGTGCTGACTTCACATGCTGTCTCCTGGCCTCCTGGGGCTTGGCTGTATCCAGAGCCTGCCCATGGCACCTGCAGTTTAGTGGTGTGGTAACAATAGCTTAGAGGCATGAGCCTGCCTTGGAGCAGGAGACTGGAGGACTCCGCTGACCTGGGCAGAGACAGGGAGAGACATTGAGCAAAAAAGCCATTTGCAAGAAGAGTTGGAGCCATCTGAATTCAACAGAAGACTTGCTGAGGTTCATAAACCTGCAGACACTTGGCTGATGTGAAAGACTGATATTTATGCACTGTGGTGGGGTGTTTCCTCTTAAGTTTTGAATGCTGAGGTTTGCTTCAGTGAAATCCAGGAGTGCAATACAGGATTGACTCAAAGGAAATATTTGCAAATCTTTGGCAAATTTTTCACCACTTTTCCAAGCTCCATCCAAGCCACTAAATAAAACACCAGACACCCTTGCCTGGGAAATGATGCTTAAAAGAACCTTCAGTTCTGAGTCTGGTGGATACAAAGAATCCACCTGAGTTTTAAATGGTGAATTCTTCACCCAAGCTTTATTTGACCTGATGATTTTGGTCCCTGGAGCAATGAGGAGGAGGAGTACCTTTTTTAGTAATAAGGAGTGGGCTGTCTCAAAGGTGGTTTGGGTGATGCCAAAGACCAAGTTGAGGGTGGGAAGAGAGCGGGATGGATCAATTTATACATTTTGGAAAATATCACCTTGGTTTCACCTGTCTTTTGCTTCCTCCTTCAGAAACACCAAGCGCACCGCGGAGGTGTGGATGGATGAGTTCAAGCAGTACTACTACGCAGCTCGTCCCGCAGCCCAGGGGAGGCCTTATGGAAAGTAAGGGTCTTACTCTGCCTGTGCCCTGCCTGTGCCCTTCCTGTGCCCTGCCTGCTGCAGTGGGATGTTCACAGTGACGTCGCTGTGCTGCGGAAACCCGCCTGCATTGTTTCTGTAGTAACGCTCAATTAAATGCTAATGGCAGGCAGATGCTACGAGCACAGCAATGAGACCTATAAACAGCCAGTTTATATGCTGTGCTGGTTCATCCCAGGGAGTGAACCAAACCCAGGTGGGGGACAACCTTCGCCTATGTCCCACCCTTGGCATTAGGTACAAGTTCTTCTAGTCCCAGAGCAGAATTCGGCGGGAGAGTTCAGAGGTGTTTTTGGCAGCTGAGGGGAAGGAAAATCATCATTTTTTTGGCCTGCTAATGCTTTATTGAAAAGGAGCAAGTTCTTTGTATGCAGGGAGTTTGCCATTCATTCTGTGAACAGTCAGAAACACCTCCCTGTCAGGAGGACTGTAAATATTTGTGTTATATTTCTCATTTTCATATGCTCCTCCTTGCCTTAGAAAGTTCCTTTGGACCACAGGCGGTTCCAAATCCAAACCCAAATTCCTTGTAGCTAATCTTCAATCTCCAGGACAAATAAATTGAAGTCCTGGTGACTAACCTGTTTGCATTGAATTAATATCCTATTCCCATCAGTCAGCACCAAATGAAGTAACAGCTCTGTCCTGCTTCATATAGGCGGGTGTAGACAAGTTAGCCTATGCAAAAGGAAGGTACTAGAGACTTCCAAGTACTCTGTAAATGCCAGCTCATAACAGCTCCACAGGCTGGCCTAGGGAGGAGCTGGAGTTTGGAAAATGACACTATGCAGCATGATCCCTCAGCAGAAATTTTGTCATGATTAATGAAAGAAAAAAGTATTTCACTGTAAGATTAGCTTCTGCTGATTTAAAAATGTGTTTAGGTGCTCTTGGAAATCAAGGCCTCATTTAGCCCTGTAAAATAAGAGTGACGTAGTATAGCGAATAGCACATATTAATTTCCTTGTACATTAATATATTAAAGTAATGCGTATTGAATATGAAATACATTTTTCACTACTAATTTTTAAATTACTGTACTTTTCCATTAATCTATTTATCCGCCCAACTTCAGACTCCTTGTTAATATGGCAATATGTCATCATGCCATTTTACCAAGTGAGACCTCCAAAGAGATGGAGATCAAAACAACTGCTCGAGCTCATGCAGAAGAGTGCAGAAAATAAAGCTGCTGATGCTCTTGTGTTTGCTGTCTGTGTGTATCTATTGGGTTTCTCTCAGCCTCCCTTTTTGGTGTGTTGGGTCTCACCTTCTTCATTTCCATTGCATCTCTGTGATGTTTTCTCCCCACAGTGTCCAGAGCAGAGTGGAGCTGCGGAAGAAGTTGAAATGCCACAGCTTCAAGTGGTACCTGGAAAACGTTTATCCCGAACTTCGGTACGGATGTGCTATCTCCACCTGTCTCTAGCAGGCCAGTGGGATGCCCCGTCCCTCCTGTCCCACAGAGCTTCCCTCTTTACCTCCAGTCCCCTTCCATGTCCCCCTACCCCAGAGACTCAGACATCCCCTCCCTTGGGCTTCACAGAAGGGCAGAGTAAATTTTGTGCTGGCTTTAAACACAGCATGGCATGCTGCAGCACCAGGAGCTGGACTTCAGATATCCTTGTGGGACCCTTCCAACTCAGGATATTCTGTGATCCTTAGATTTGTGATCCTGCTTTCTCTAAGCAGTCTTACAGATGCTGTGGCTCTTTGCTGCAAGGTCAGTAAGGGGCAAAACACCAGTTATTCCCATTTGCTCTCAGGGATTCATTAGATGTCCTCCTGCCCATGTTGTGGGACAGGTTGCATAGGGAAATAGCTAATTTTCCTTTCAAAAGTATCCCAAGGCAGAAAATGCACCATAGCCTCTGCTGGGCTGTTTCAGTACTTAATGACTCTCAATTACTAAAGAAGCACCTGATTTCCAGTCCTTTCACACTGTTCTGTGGTACTCAAGACTTTTCTGTTGTGAAACCATTCACTCTAGGATTTTATGACTTGTATTCAGATGGCTCTGCCTTGCTTTGCTTAATATCCACTTCCACAGTTGCTTTTGTACAGGTATTTTTTAGTTACCAAAATTACTCTAGAAACCATTGCATTCATTCCCCCAGTCCCTATCAGGAGCCATCCCCAGAAAGGGTGGAAAAGTTCTGGAGATACTGCCAGGGACCCTGCTGGTGCGATAGCTGAGTGCAAAATCACTGTGTGAAAATGATGATTTATAGTTGGTTTCTTGGGGTTTTTTGCCACGTGTGGCATTCCACAGCAGCATTCACAGGGAACGCCAGGGCTCTGTGACAGTTTGTTATAAACTTCCCCACTCCTGTAAGCTGAAGGCTGACCTTCAGCCTGCTCTAAGTCTATTCCTTGCTTCTCTGTTTGCCTTGTGCACTGTTATTTATTTTTTCCTCTTATAAAGGTCAGCCATCCATCTCCGAGCGCTGCTTCTGCAGGGTCCCTGTCCATGTACTGCTCTCAGTGGTTCTGTTTTCTAATAGATCTTGCCACTCCCATTTTCTGAAGGTGAAATGGTGCGACCTTACCCCACTGAGCCTTCTTTGAGTACTGTGGGGAGGGGGAGTATGGATGTTGTTTAAATGCCTGTTCTCACAGGATTCCCGAGGAGTCACTCTATCAAACTGGGATGATCAGGCAAAGACAGAGCTGCCTGGAGTCACACAAGTCTGAAGACCAAGAGCTCCCCATCCTGAGTTTAAATCCTTGTAACAGCAGCAAGGGCACAGTAGCAAAGGCACAGGTAAGATGTGTTGTGTATCCATATGACGCTGGCTGGACAGAAGCCTCTGGGCCAGCTTCAAGATCATTTAAGTTTGCTAAAGCTCTGTTGGAGGATTTACCTTTTCTTACAAACCCTTTCCTTAGGTAGCATGTAGTTAAACCCTGTTAACTCCTCCTGACTGAGGGGGAAGCCCTGGACAGCAGCAGGGATTGGTGGCAGGAGCCACAGTGCAATGTGGACCACTCATCGCTGTGCCAGCCTGGGCTGACCACTTACTGCCAGGAATACCATGCTCTGCTCATCTGCACAGCTCAAAGACAAAGAGAACTGTAATTTCGTCTCATCTTTCAGCCTTTTCTCTTTCAAAATGCACTGAATCGCAATGGTATTTATAACTTCATAGTCTGCATTCCCTCGGTATTAGATTGCCCATTAAACTAGTGAGAATTTAATGAGGATGATCTCATTTTTTTCAGTCTCACTGAGATGAGAAAAAGCTGTATGAATAGGTGTTCTCAAAAGCACAGTCCAGGAAACATCAGAGCCAAGAGCAAGCTCATGTGCCTTGCAGCAGAGTTTCTGGAGCAAGACCTTGAAGACACGGCTACAAAACCTGCCTTTCCTTCAGCCTCCCTTTGTGATTTTGGGCATGTCAGTAAGATCTCTCACCCTTCCCATCTATAAAACAGGGAGGATAACAATCGCTTGCTTCTTCACTGTTGCTGTGAAATAATTTAATAGGCAATGGTGTGCTTGCTTCCACTTGACTGTACATTCTTAAACTTCGTGGTTACACATTCAAGCCAGGTAGCTGTGCATATAAAAGGCACCTCAGCCTAGGGAGACTGCTGAAAGTGCCCCTGATTTGTACGTGCAAACGAAGCTTGTCATTATGTGCATCTCTTTCAAATGTAGTTGCATGCCTGTCTTTAGGCAGGAAAATAATATCTGTTTCACAACATGGTAAAATCAACAATGATTACTTGAATCTTAGTCAGTTCAGAAAATATAGTGAATATAATTGTGAGTGTTGCACAGTTGCACTTCTTATGGTTTCACTGGTTTCCAGGTTCTAGGATTATTTTCCTTTCTTCCTCTGCTACGTGGACTTTTCACACCAACAGCAAGAAAAGCAAGCTGATGAGAGCAGGTCATCATGTTTTACAGGGCCAGCTCTGCAGAAGAAAAGAAAAATGTTTCAGTGACAATTGCAACTTTAAATGAATTGGATGTTTTTAAAAAAATCTGGGAAAATCAGAATGAAAAATGCTGCTGCAAGCTAGCGTTTCAAAATGAAATGGTATTGGTCTTTCTGAAATATCAGTTTGATGTGGTATTTTAAAATGAGAAATGTCATGCCAACAAGTAGGATTGTTTCATTCCCAGCAAACACATTTTGTTTTGACATTTCTGTGAAGTAAATTTTTGGAATTTTTCATGCCGCAAACTTTTCATCTTCCCATTCTGATTCTGCAGCAGTTTGCAATAGGTCAACACTTCCCACTGGATGGCAGCTCCATTTCTTGTGCACATCCAGGACTAACTCTGCAAGGGAACAGAAAAATACACTACAAACAGATTGCAGAATGGCTATACCCAGTACACCACAGGAACAGAGAAAAACTTTTTCCTTTTATCTTTCTCTCTTTCTAAGGTAACTCTCTGTTACTTGTACCCATGGAGACTATTTCAGATTAAAGCATGATATTTAAACTCTTATTGTGAATAGAAACTTACATTTTAATGACAAGACCACCTGAACTTGTGGATGACATGAGTGTTATAGTCACCAGGCTGTGTAGGATCTATTGTGCAGCAGTCCTGAATGCTGCTTAGTTTTGCATTTGATATACCATAATAGAGCAATAATCTTCACTTTTAACATACTGAAGTCACATCTTGTTTGCCCTAAGCTTCATTATTTGAAAAATAGGTTTAGCTGAATCAAAGCTCTGCTTTCCTGACATTCAGTAAGTACCATGGAAATATCCTGGCTGTTCAAATTCTTTATTATCACTATTATAGTAGCAGTAATTTGGTTGCTTTGATTGCCTTTCTGTATCTGTCTCATTGCTAGGCTCCCCCAGCCCTTTACCAGCATTACATGCATGAAGTGCTGGGACTGGGTGTGAGAAGATCTGAGCTATCACACATTATCATGGTTTAAGGAGAGATACAAAGGAGCTGTGAGATGGCAATGAGTTGCTCTTTATTTTAGTTCTTTCTGTATGTAGTGCAGGGGAAGGATGTTGTGAAACCTCTGGCTACATCCATATTTTGGGTAAATTGAGAAGAGTACTCTGTAGTGAAATCAGATTTACACCCTTAGCAGATCTCACAAACCCTTCCTGGTGGTGACTGATGTTAGCCTTGAATTACTAAAAGGGGCACTGAGGCACAAGAAGACCCCTCGTCTTTGTGTAGGAGAGCTCTGTTCTCTCGTCCCAGGGATCTACTTGGCCCTTTCTGTTCCAAAAGGTCTGGCAGCAGTCAGTGTAGGCTATGTCCTTTGAGATGGCTCTCAGAGGGCTCTTGAGTTATTGACTGGCAGAGATCTTTGTGCAGTGCTCATCCCCAGGGCACAGCGGGCTCTGCCTGCTCTCCTGTCCACTGGAGCCCTTGTACTCTATGCTTTGTTATGTCTCATTTGCTAAATGAAGAGATTGATTTAGCTTTTCACAAGAGAAATGCATCTGAGGGAAAATAATTGATCATAATCTTGTCCTCATTTATCTAATGAAGATGTGAGTAGCTGGGTGTTTTTTTCCAAGTCAAGTGTCGGTTGATATTAGTTCCCAGAGTTTGGAACAGACATCTGACTCTGGGATTTATTTAATTCATCAGCAGCTTCAGGAAACCTGTCATACTTCAGATTAAAAAAGCAGAAGGTGCTTTGACCTGGATACTCACGCACATGTAAGCAGTCGCTGCAAGACAAATGTAAAGTTCAGGCATCTTCTAGACAAGCAAGGAAACAGTAAGAAGGCTGTGGCGTCCATTTCCTGCACCCCAAAAAATCTGGGGTTTGGAGCTGAGTGGCTGCCATTTTATTTGAGTGGCATGTCCTTGACTCTTCCTATGAAGGAAATGCAATCTGATAATCTGCCTCATATGGCTTTAATGCTCACCGCAGTTCTCTTGAGGTCCTCTTGTGCTGACTAGATCTGCACTTTGGAGAATATTTAGCATCTATCCAAACTAAGTGTGCCTCCTGAGACAACTCAACCATAAACATTCTCTTCTGATCTTCCTCCCCCCAAAAGCCTTCATTCTTCTCCACGGACACATCTGCCTCAGCTGTAGGCTGGCCAGAGCTGCAGGAGGCAGGCTCAGATAGCAGAGCAGAGGGGTAGCAGTGTCATCTCTGCACCCAGCTTGTCATGGGCATCTTGTGTACTTCACTTTCCCTCTCCTGAGATGTGTGTAAGTGCCAGTTGCATCCCAGGGTCTTTGGACGAGGGGAGCGCTTTGGTATTCTTAAGTGACCCATGCAGTCACGTGCCTTGTGAAGTCCTTCCTTGTGATTTTAAAAAGATAATTGGGGAATTAGATTGTTCACAGCTTCCTCAGAAACGTTTTTCTCTAGCTACTATCCTGGCTTTAGGGTACAGCTGACCTCTTATTTGGTAGCAGAGCCCTCTCTGTCACATAATGCCAGGTTCCCATGGGACTACCCCTTCCTAGGCAGAGGGGCTCCTTCCTCCATCTGTCAGCCAGGCTATGCCAAGCCGAAGGTCACATTTTAAAATAATTTCCTCAGTTCATAATCATGCTGAGTAACAGTGACAGGTGCCTGCTCAAATGATGCTAAAGACTTGAAAAATAGTCGCAAGCCTCAGATGGGGGGTTAATGTTGTCTGAGGCTTTGGAGGAAGGGGATTGCTGGTTGCGGTATACAGCTCATAGCTCTGTTCTCCAAGCCCACTCTCTTCCTCCTTATTCCACCCCCACTTGTGTTTGTCTTTGAAAAGGCAGGTAATCCTGATCTCAGTTTCCCCTCATATGTCTGTTTTTTGGTTATGCCAGGATCAGCTCTAAGCCCTGATGGCATCTCTTCAGGCCAGGCTGCAGCCCTGAAGCCATGCTAGCTCCTTGAAGACCTCCTTAGGGATACCATGGGCTGCACTGTCCACCACAACCTCCACTGTGTTGTTACTGCTGTGCTGGCTATGTCAGTGCTAGGTGTGCCAGGCTTTAGGAGATAAAGTAGTTTCTCATGGGGGAAAAAAAAAAAAGGCAGAAATTTTAATCCCAAGTGCTACAAATAAGGAAAAAGATGAGGTAAGATAAAAATTTACATGGCCATTTGCATACATTTGAACTCAAAACCCTTCATGGATTCTGTGTTGTTCAACTGACTCCCCCCTTTTTACCCCCCCAAATTTCTTCATTTTCTGCATCATTTTCTCTGGCTTTCATCTAGGGCTGAAAGGGGACAGGACATGATTAGAGCTGGATAAAACATTTTCAACAGGACTGGCTTTCATAAAGAGCCATTCTGCCAAAATAGATGAGCTGTGTGAAAATCTGTCAGTTGAGATAAAGACAGTAGAAGGACAGCCTGGGGGCAAGAGGGTAGGATCCAATGTCAGCTGTCGAACTGATGCATGCATCTAGCTCTGGAATTCTCACTTCTTATGATGAACAAAGCTTAGGAAAGATGGTTACCACCACCCTTTCTATCCCATGGACCATTGCTGAATGAGAGAAAGGTCCTGCCTTGAGAGGATGTGAATATTGAGAAGGCTTGAACAGAGCCTAACCTGGAAAAAAAGCATGGAGGACCCCTATGAGGAGCAGTCCTTCATCAGATACCTCAGTGAAGCAAAGAGGCTAAGACATCAAAGCAAAAAAAAAAAAAAAAAAAAAAAAAAAAAAAAAAAAAAAAAAAAAAAAAAAAAAAATCCCATGGCTTGAGTTAATTGGGGATCCAACATATACACAAGTCCAGGATTAACTAGCTGCTGCTGAGGAGCCTCGTGGGTGCAGCTCCAACCCTGTCCTGAGCTAAAATGACGAACAACTGGTTAAAAATGTAAAGCAGGTTTTCAAAGCAGCTCGTAGTAGTGTGGGCGCCAAGAACAGATGTTGGAGCTTGCCCCGTAGGGTTTGGTTCTTCACAGATGCAGGAGTAATTTGGCACCTGATTTCCCAGGCTGGTGGTTTACACAGCAGCTGACAGCATGCATGGTTGGGATGTCTGGAATATGCTCACTGTAGGATCAGGTAAACTCTGCTCCATATGACAAAGAAGAACTAGCTGCCAGAAGGCCCTTTGGGTGCAGATTACAGCTTTGAAAGTGAATGCTTGTTATGTGCCCAAATCCTGGGCAGCTCTTACTGAGAAGCCTGTGGGCAGGCTGTTCAGAAAGCTGGGTTTGATTTCCATGAGCTGCTGGGGAGTAGTGGGCTAAGAAGCACGGGGTATGAGGATCACAGTGTGAAGTCCTTGTGGAGCTGGGTCTGCTGTGCAAAAGCATGTTTTCCCTTCCAGGTGGCTAAGAACCTGAATCAAAGTGGGATTTATGTTCCCAGGAGTTAAATGCCTGTAGCTGTCTGTTTTGAAGTTGAGGAGAGGAGTTAGAGCTGCTGACGGTGACAAATACCAAAGGAGTGGAAGCGTTTCCCTGCTCTAATAATTCATGCTAGTGCAACCAAAAACCTCCACCATTCAAGCTCAGGGGAGCTGCAGGCATCCCAGCTCTGAGAGCAGGGCAGCCATTCTTCACATTCCCCTCCAGCACTCAGAAAGGGCTGAAATCTCCCAGGAGCACCTTTTACCCTTCATTTTTCCAGCCCCAGCATAATAGCTCTATGTTTGAGCTCTGCCTTCCCCTCCATTGCCAACACTGCTGCTCACATCACTTCTCACAGAGCTTTGATTCTCCGTATCTGAGCTCTCAACTATTTTGCTTTCTCTCTGCACCTTTTCTTTCACAGCAGGTTTCGAATTTTCATTACCTCTACCCTACCAAAACGTCTGCCTTGGCTACTGGGGGCTGTTGCAGAAAAGCTCGTGCTCCCTGGCCTTGTTCTCTCCAGCAGGGTTATTGCCCTCTGATAGTGAAGCCAGCCTGCTCTTCATCCTCACATCCTGCTCATCTGCTCTTTGTCCTCCAGTCCTGCTCACCTACTCTGCCACAGTTCAGAAACCTGCTTTCCATTTGCTCCCACTGCTGCTCACCTGACTGCTCAGAGCCATTTACACAGCAGAAGTTGACCCTGACTAGGGGCCCTCAGAAAACCCTTCCAGCCCTGCTCTTTCTAATTTTAAAGCTGATGCTCACACAGAGTTATAAGCAAAACACTTGTTCCAGAAGTCCCTCTCCAGAGTTATGTGAAATCCTGGTTTGCGGTTGCCAGTCAGCCAAACCAGATCTTGTCTGCTTGTGTGCACACACAAATAGCAAGAAGAGACATCCCTGGCTTGGAATCCTCTCAGTAGCTGCTTTTGGGTAATATGAGCACTGGTAAATGATGGGAAATTTCAACTGGAATAAATGTTGGAGTAAACTTCTGTGAAATACTCCTGGGCTGTGTGTCTGTACAGGCCTGATGCTTTGTCCTGCACATTTAGAAATTCTGGTCAAACTATCAGTTATTTCCCTTTTTTTCCCCCAAGTAAAGCGTCCAGTAGTGAAAAAGAGGATAATCACAGAGAGCCCCTGTTGTTTGGTAAGCATCTGGTAAGCGTTTGGAAAGCAGGACAAAGTCTCTGCTCCTCCAGAGTTTATTTCTTGGGCTGAGAAGCTCATAAGAGAAGGTGAACATGAAAAGCAGTATGAGGAAAAAACCTTCATCATAGCCCAGAAGAACAGAAGTAGCAGTGGTCATAGCAAACCAGTACAGCAAACTTTTGGAGTTTGATCCCCCTGCCTTGATAGAAAGCTGAGCTTTACCCCTGATTTTTGTGATACTTTGGAACAGAATCCTAGGAGTTGCAAACATTTGCTGTGTATCACCTCTTTTCTCCCACTACCAGCTGTAAAACATTTCTGCTGCTCTTCCCTGGAGAAGGGGATTCCACATTCTGTGGTTAGTAGTATTTCTGCCTCTCTTTTGCTTCCCCCCCCCCCTTTTTTTTTTTTCCCAACCACAGCCCAGTTCTAGCTATGGAATCTTTTGTCTCATGAACCATTTTCTTCCAACTGCTTTTGTAGATATTTTCTTTGGTACCTGCAGTCCCCCAGTAACAGCTGCAGTTTTGGGAAGGCTTGAAACAGTGACCTGTCCTGGTGCCACTTAAAGTCAGTGATGTTTGTGCTTTCTTTCAGAAGGGGCAGGATTCAAGCCAAAGTGTTGGTTTTCCAGGTAGAAGAATACCAAGACTCAACACTGATCTCTCACCTCAGTTTTTTTCTTCCTCTCTGCAGGAATGGACATACACGTACAACCACCAAGTTCGCCAGCAGCAGCTGTGTTTGTCTGTGTACACTCTCTTCCCTGGTTCCCAGGTGCTGCTGTCACCTTGTAAAGAAGGTGACAACAAGCAGGTGAGCCCTTTCACTGATCCCTCATTTTCTTTGAAATTCCCTTTCTTTCATCATAGGATTACTGCACAGTAAATGGCCCGTGTGTTCTGACTTCATCTGGGAAGCACAGTGAGTTTGGGAGTACAGACTCTGGCCTGTTCAGCCCTTTGCCTCTTAAATGAGTGTGTTGATAAGGATGTCTATTAGTGAGGGTGGTGATCTGGATACTTATCTGCAGAAGTCAAACCCAAACTGGCAATTTAGTTCACACGGGCTGCCAGTCAGGCAGCAGATGCTAACGTTTCTCTGCAGTTAATAATTGAGCTGGCATTTGAACCAGTGACCTGGGGAAAAAGCTGTTAGTAATATATTATCTTCCTGAAGCCAGGCAGAGGCCGAGCTTAAATGAGTGTGCTTCTGATGGGAAAAATGCTCAGCCTGTGCTCTGCTTGGTGCGAGTTTGGGGACCTTGTTCTTCCCAGCATCAGGCCACAAGGGCTTAGTGACCCGTGTCCCCTTGATGCTGGAACAGTAGAGTGAAAACATAGTGGTGAGGAAGCTTGTTTTTCTGTTTCTCCTCTCCTCAGCGATGGGGTAAGGTTGGGTCACACATCGAACACATAGCCTCACGCTTCTGTTTGGACACTGAGACGATTGGGGACACCCATGAAAGTATTAAAGAGCTTGTCATCAACCCTTGTGAGAGCACAGCCATGAGTCAGCGCTGGGACATGGTGATGTCTTGACCTGCTGGAGGACGTGCACGGCAGGGACGGGCACTGAGACGTTGCTATGCACAGCCACAATGCACCAGCTGGAGCTCAGATGCAAAACCATTGGGAGTCCTTGTGTTCTGTGGGACAGAAGGAGAATCGTTCAAATAAGAATGGGACACGGCGCTCCGAGTTGAACAACGCATTTTGACTCTGAGACACGCAGCTGGTATTGGCCTGTTGGCAGTCATACATGCAGAGAGAAGGGATGGCTAAAAAACAAGCTTGAAATGTTTTAGAGGGATACTGGGGCTCCTGCAATGGGCTGTACAGAACTTCAGTGTACACAGTATTGGTTAATCCACCTGAAAACACAGGCAGAAGAGCCTTGAAGACCAAAGGGAAATTTGGACTGAGCAAAGCAAGCATCTCAATAGCTTTTGAGGGTTGAGGTGGGTGCACAAGGTGGGATGTGCCAAGGGATGCTAAGAAACAACTCCAGGGATCAAGTGGAAAACACTGAATTATTCTTTGCACTTTTTATTGCTGTGGATGTTTTTGTCTCTGCAGACAGCATGGGTGGAGCCATGTTGCACGTTTGAATTTGTACCTAATCCACGTACATGTTGTGTATACAGAGGCAGAGCAGTCATTTATGTCTGTGGCCAGGATCAAAACAGCAAGTAGTGGGGGAATCCTGCTTTGTGCTAACTGCACATGGGGCTTGTTGAATCTCCAAAGCCCAAGCAAACAGAGGATTCAGTGTGTGAGATTAAAGGATATAAACTGCTGTGAAGCTAGGAGGAAATGCAGTAACATGATTATTTCTTCTCTCTGGAGGCAATGGGTCACTGAAAACTCCCCTATAATCTCTCTGTGTGTCTCTCACTGCTTCAGATCTGGACTAAATCAAATTTTCACTTTTATTCCATAAAAGTAATATTTTTGGTAATTGAAGGTAATTGTGTCATATTTCTGTTTCTCAATTTCCAAACTACAGAAGAGGGGACTGCCATGAAGTGCTGCTACCAAAAGAATGGTGAAGGTAATTAAAAGAGACTGCTCTGAGAAAGGAAAAGGGATATTACCTGGTTTTGCTTCCCAGGTATCTTGTAGTCCAAGACACGAAGTACTGAAGAAAAGGTTTGGGATTCCCCAGTCACACTGTGAGCAGGGAAGTCTGTGTCACAATGTACCTCTCTCTCAATCATTTAACATAGGCAGACCTGGCAGAAATTATTTCTTCTGCTTTTGGAGATAAGTCGTTAACCGGAGGTCATGGTAAGTGCTATCAGTATGTGGGAGTGAGATGTGACTGCCAAAGGAGAATTGCACAGATGACCTCAGAAAGGGTCTTAGGCATAGATGACTCGAAGGTCGTTTCTAGCCTGTCTTTCAGGGCAGCTGCCACTACAGCAACAGGTAACAGGCAGTGGATCACCAAGAGCTGTGCACACAGCTTTTGTGTAGGAAAAACTCTCAGAGAACTTTCTCAGGACTGTCAGTGAGACTTGAAAAGGAAAAATATAGTTTGTGTCTCTAAAAATGCTAGGGTTTAATGAAAATCCTATCCTTTGTTTCTTGTGCTGCAACCTGTAGGTAAAATACCATAAGCTTTAAGCCTTCAAGTGCTCTCAGCATCCCTTCTTGAATAAATTGCTGGCTTTCAGGATTTTACTGCCTCAGTTTCTCCTCCCTCAGTGCTGGGAGAAAGCCATATGTGTAAATCTCCCCGGCTTTAGAGGCAGAAGCAGTATGTACAAAAGGTCGCAGTGCAAAATGCTTTCCATGTGCTGCAGTGATTACTAACCTCATCAAGCTCCCTTGGTGCAAGCCTCAAGGGCCTCTGTTATGAAAGGGCTGGAGCAAGCTGTCATTTCATGGTGGGAGGTGGCATTGTTTCCATGCCACCACTTTGCAAAGGAGACGAGGGGAAGCACTTAAAATGGAATGGACCCGCTTCAAAAAGAAGGGCAGTGACCTTGGGCTTCTTCTATTTAATTGAACAGGGAAATACCACACCTACTTCTCACAATAGCGATGACAGGCAAGTGGTAGTAATTCCCAGTCTAGTGCTTACAAGGGAAAGAAGCTCCCTGGAGCTTGAAGCTTAACACGTTCACACCTGTACTGTGCCTACAGCCTGGGACTGCCCAGCTGCTGGCACTTTGATTCTGAAAATCTTGGCATTAGTTTTGAAGTTCAGCACCTGCCAGGTATACTGAGCAGGACCTCAGACCTATCTAGCTTTACTGTTTTCCAGCAAAACTGAAAATACCCGTTCTACTGTCAGCCAAAGCTCTCTAAACAGGTAATGCTCTTTGCCTTAGCAGAAACAGCTACCTCATGACATGGGTGTGTGCTTGAGCACAGGGACCCGTGGGACCTGCAGGGATGTATTCTAGGAAGGAATTGTTTGACCAGCTTTTCATCTCTCTTGCTTTTTTAACAAAACACAAATGCTATTCCAAATCCCTCCTATTCCAAAGCATGCACTAAGGTGATCACTTTGAACATGTCTGGGGTCAGTGGAAGGCAGGCAGTGGGGAGGGTGACATCAGGAATGGTGTCCCCTACTAGAGAGTAGCAACTAAGTTCAGCTAAGTCTCTTGCAGGCCGAAAAGCCACCTAACAGACCTGGGTAAAGCAGCCCCTTGGCAAGCTGGTGATTGTGTCTCACACATATATCAGCTGTAACCCATAGGCTACAACTTATTTCACGGTCCAGGAAATGAGTTTATCCCTATGGATCAGCAATGTTTTTGGAGAAGCCTGAGAGTATCAGCCTAACTCCTGGGAAGGTTTATATAAGCTGGCAATGCTCTGGCAGCCTCCAGTGTCAGCCCCACTATGGTATTTAGCAAATCTGCTTAATATCCCTGCAAAGAGACCTCGCATCATGTCAGGGGAAAGGTTAACTGCTGCTGAAATCCAGCTCGTACCTTTAGGCTTATTTCACTTATTAAAATAGACTGAAGACAGATTTTTGCTTTGTATTTGTTCCTTGTGTAGGCCTTTATTATCATGCTGTGAACAGATAAATGTGACTGATAGGTATCTAGATGGGCTCCCATGCCGATACTTCTTAAGCCCTAATGTCATGTGGTAGTAATGCTTTTTGGTAACATTTTGCACTGCCTTGAAAGAAAATAAGATAAGGTAGAAAATATGATTCTAATCCTGGCTGTTGAGCTTTGTGACAACCTTTATGATCTCCAAGTAAGTCACTTCTTGTGCCTTGGGAAAATTAGATTCAGAGCGGGAAACTTGGGGCTAGAACCAGTACTGGCTTTAAAGAGCCAACTAAGGCTAAAAAAAACCCAAAAAACAAAAAACAAACACCAATAAAACAAACAAACAAACAAAAACCAAAACACCAAAAACCCCCAAAGAAAAACTCAAAAAAGCACCTGCCCTTCCCTTATGAAGGATACCCATGTTCCACTGACAACAAATCTATCTGGTTTTAGTTGGGCTGGAGAAGTCTTGCAGTCCTTAATGTTGCTGCTATGTGATTTCCGGGTATTTTGTGCTCATTTTCTCTCTATGTACCAGTGAGTACCATAAGATAACAACAAAAATCATCAGTGCTTGGAACCTCAGGTTACAACACAGCGAGGTAGTGATTTAATAGTAAAGAGATGGAAACTGAATTCAGAGGTTTTGATTATCCAGCAATGCAATAGGAAAATAAGGCTGATGGATGAAGACTAGTGGTTCAAGACAAGCAGCAGCCCTGAGTGCTAATGCCTTCTTCTGCTTCTAGGATTGGCTTGGGATAGCTTACTTCATTTCCCTGGCACAGTTTCCCAAACTTTTAGTGAAGACTGAATGTTTTGAACAGAGAGAAAACCAAGGATTAGTTTTTGTTGCATGCAATTCCAGCAGTACTGGACTGGCAGTCTCTGGAGCTAGTAGCTCCATGAACCCTTCTATCTGCCTGAAGAGGCTCTGATTCAGATGGAGTTAATTTTCTTCATAACAGCCTGTAATGTCCTGTGTTTTAGACTGGTGACCAAAACAGTGTTGATAACACACCACAGTATTTAATGTTTTAGTTATTGCTGTGCCTGCACAGTGTCAAGGCCTTCATCTCTCACTCTGCTAGGTAGCAAGTAGGCTAGGGTTGGGGAAGAGGGTTGGGAGGCAATACAGCTGGGATAGCTGACCCAAACTGACCAAAGACACGTATCATACCAAATAATGTGACACTCAGCAATAAAACTGGGGGGAGTTTTGCTTTGGGAGGTGTTACTTAGAGACCTGATTGGGCATCAGTCTGCAAGTGGTGAGTGACTGCCTTTGCATCACTTGGTTGTTTTTGTTTTCTTTCATTTTCCTTCACTTATTAGACTGTCTTTATCTTTACCCACAAGTTGTTTTTTTTTTTTTTTTTTTTTTTTCACTTTTGCCCTTCTGATTCTTTCCCCCATCCCATTTGGCAGGGAGTGAAGGAGTGTCTGGGTAGGGGCTTGCCAGACAAGGTCAACCCACCACACTGCCCTAAGCCAACCAGGGTCTGTAGTGTATCAGGATTCAAGGCTCATACTCTGATCACAACTGTGCAATAGAATCTGCGTTGCTCAAATTTCAGATCTTAAAAGCTTTAGTGAAGAGCTATGAGCTAGGATTGTTGGTAGAAGTGGTAAAGGAAGGAAAGTCAAGCAGATTGCACACAAGCGGCAGAAGAAACTGTAGCTCATTAATGTGCTGGCTAAATTAATTTTGAATAATCAGTCCAGCTCCAGTTTTAATATGCAGCTGCTTTAGATGGCTGAAGAGTAATCTAAACCTGGTATAAATGTCCAGCTTTTGTTGAGACTTAAGTGGAATTTTCCTAGATTTATGGATGTTTTCTAAATTTCCACTGTTCTGTTATTTGCTGGAAGTGCCTTCAGAACCCTATAAGAATAAAAACCTGTTGCAAGCTACCACCTCTCCAACTGAGTCTAATTAAGTTTCAAGTTGAGCTGCATTTTAGCTTAGAGCTGATGAAAAGCAACATGTAAATTTGCAGGTAAGAATGCTGCTTTTGTGATGTAGGGGGCTGTTTTATTTCCTGTGGTATTATTTGGGCTCTGAAGAAATCCAAACTGGTTGAGTGTGATGTACAAAAGAAAACATGACTGAGTTTCAAGGCTGGGTTTTGCATAAACACTCATCTAGTAATTATCTATCAGCTGTCCATCCCAATGAGTAATGTCTCTCATTTTCCTGTGATTTATATGAAAGAAGTGTCCTGACAAGATATTGCTACTGCACGGTGTTAAATTCAGTTGTAAAACCAACCAACCAACCAAGGAGGAAAAAAAGGAGAAGGAATGTTGACAGCTTGTATGCAACCTGATATATGCAATAAAAGAAAGGTATTGCAAAATTAGAAGTGTTCCCAGGCTGAAAGGTTCAGGTTTATACCAGCACCAGAGCACAGTCTGCCTAATCCTCAGTTTTCTTACTAAGACCATGTGCCTCTGCAGTCCTCCTGAGGTCCGTCAGAGAAGCCATACTTCTATCAAGTATTAAACATGCACTACATGGTCCCAACTAACTCTGGCCGTGGCCTAGTAATCCACCTGTCTGTTTGTGTGTCTGTCTGCAGCAGACAGCACCTCCTTCTCTCAGCTTCTGAGAAGCTGTCTGAGCCTATTCTAATGGAGATCAGAATCCTGGTGCTGCACATAGGACATCCAGCCTATGTTCTCTTACAGAGATGAATGTTTTCTCTAAATGCAGAATCAGACCCAAAGTGTACATGTAGTCACAACCAGATCCAAGGGTGTTACTAACATGAGCTCTGATCCTCTTGGCCTAAGCCAACACAATTCAGATAGTGATTACAAATTTTACTGGGAGCCCCTGGTGGTCTAGAGAGTAAAGGCGCTGCGCTGTCAATGCCGAGACCCGGGTTCAATTCCCGGTCGGGGCCACTACCCGGGCAGATGGAGCTTGTTAGCCCT